GGTCCCAGCTACTCGGGAGGCTGAGGCAGGAGAATGGTGTGAACCCAGGAGGCGGAGCTTGCAGTGCGCTGAGATCCGGCCACTGCACTCCAGCCTGGGCTACAGAGCGAGACTCTGTCTCAAAAAAATAAATAAATAAAAATAAAAAACGAGAAGGCTGGGTGCTGTGGCTCAAGTCTGTAATCCCAGCACTTTCGGAGGGAGGCTGAGGCTGGGGAATTGCTCTAGCTCAGGAGTTCAAGACCAGCCTGGGCAACATAGTAAAACCCTGTCTCTACAAGAAATCCAAAAATTACCCTGGCGTGGTGGCTTGCGCCCATGATCCCACCTACTCTGAGGCTGACGTGGGAGGTCGAGGTTGCAGTGAGCTGAGATTGCACCATGGCACTCCAGTCTGGGGGATAGAGTGAGACCCCATCTCAAAAAAAATGAAATATAACAAAAAGGGTCTAGACCCCAGAGTACTTCAGACCTTGATTCTGACAGTTTTTGCCACCTCATTAGTTGTGTTGGGAGCCTTGTAATTCCCTGCTCCACCATTTTGGGCCGCACAGTACCTTTAAAGTACTCCTGTCTCTGGGAAAATGCCTACATTGTGAGTCTATAGATCCCCTAGGTGGAGGCCAGGACTTGTTTTCCCCATCTCCCTTGCAGCTAGTAACCCCCTCAGTTCCTAGGAAGATTGGCTCTCCATCTCACAAGTATGTTATTTTTTTAAATGGATTTTTCTGGTTTTTTTTGAGACAGAGTTTTGCTCTTATTGCCCAGGCTGGAGTGTGTACAGTGGCACCATCTTGGCTCACTGCAACCTCCGCCTCCTGGCTTCAAGCAATTCTCCTGCCTCAGCCTCCCGAGTAGCTGGGATTACAGGTGTGCGCCACCAGGTCCAGCAAATTTTTGTATTTTTAATAGAGACGGGGTTTCACCCTGTGTGTTGGCCAGGTGGTCTCAAACTCCTGACCTCAGGTGATCCACCTGCCTTGGCCTCCCAAACTGCTGAGATTACAGGCATGAGCCACCGCACCTGGTCAAGATTTTTTCTTTTTCTTTTTTTGAGACACATTATCTGTCTGTCACCCAGGCTAGAGTGCAGTGGCACAAACATGACTCACTACAGCCTTGACCCCCTAGGCTCAAGCAGTCCTACCACCTCAGCCTCCTGAGTAGCTGGGACTCATGCCACCACACCCAGCTAATTTTTTTCTTTTTTGTAGAGACAGAGTCTTGTTATGTTACCCAGGCTGATCTCAAACTCTGGGCTCAAGTGATCCTCCCACCTCAGCCTCCCACAGTGCTGGGATTACAGGTGTTAGCCACCACTCCCAGCTCTTAAAAACAAATTTACTCCTGACCACGAAGGTGTTCCTGTCCACTCAGGATCTTATGTTCAGTACTGGCTCAGCACAGTCTGCAGCCCTAGACATCCATTGCATAACGAACGCTGCTCAGGTCCCAGAGAATGTCTCATTTCTGCGGGTGCAGTGGCTCACGCCTGTAATCCCAGCACTTTGGGAGGCCGAGGCGGGGAGATCACCTGAGGTTGGAAGTGACATTTAACTTGGCTCTTGGGAATATCTTTGGAGAGAAAAAAGGCATTCCAGGTGGGATGAACCGGGAGTGAAGGCTGAAGTGCAGCATGTATGGAGCCCTCTGAGGATTCGGGATTGGCAAGTATGTCTTAGGCAACGATGGATTAGATGAAAAGCCAAGTGAGATTCAGAGTTGAGGTCTCCCAGAGCTTGCTTTTTTCTCCCTGGCCAGGAGCTGAAAGTGAACTTCCTAGCCTGGGGTGAAGCTGTCTTCTCAGGTGTTGGTCCAGACCTAGATTCAAACTCTGCCTTGCCCAGAGACCTGTGTGCTCTTTCACCTGTCACTCCTGACCCTGAGGTGAGACAATAGCCTCTAAGCGAGGACACTTGGTATGCACCAGTATAGATGTGTTGCTGAATGTAGAGGTACTTGGCAGTGGTTCCTTGGTCTTTTGAATGACAAATTTCTTTCAACCTCTGGTCAAAGGCTCTATGGAGTGTCTCCATAAAAATGCCTAGGTGTTAAGTTTTGCATGAATTTTTGGATAGTGCATTATATTCCTGACACCTGCGGCACCGAGGCTGAGAATTGCATAGGTGCTGAGATCCCTTTTACTATGACCCAAAACCATCTAGGCAGGAATGGGTGATCCACATGCTATCACCCTCTTCCCACTCCGGGGTCTCTGCCTGTCAGCAGCAGCAGCATGCTGGGAGGAAGGTGGGATCACCCCACAGAAATACTTGGCTGTGAGCCAAGACATCCTGCCAGCAGGAACCTAAATTGTCTTCAGACCTTCAAATCCTGGGGTCTAGTCCCACACCAAGCAGCTCTGGGTCACAAAGCCACTTACAGGATCTAAGGAACAGGGGGTAAGGCCATCTGCTTCCTTGCCATGTGTTAAATCCATCAACCACACCACCCCTCTCTATCGTATTTCTCCCACTCCTGACCACTTCAAAGGACATAGGATCCCCACAAAATGGTGACAACAAATGGAGCCATTTTCATATCCTATTTTAAGTGTCCAGAAAGAAATCGACTATTCACTCAATCAACATGTAAGTGACTGAGGCATCCCTACACGCCAAACTAAGTTTTCCCAAAGGCCCAGGCTTAGAACTGATTCTGACCCTGAGTCTGGAATCACAGGGAACACACAATATGAACTATCTGCCAAAAGGGCAGACATGAAAGTAGACACGACCCTCCTCTTCTAAGCTCTCATGCGCCTCTCAGAACCTGAAGCCTAACACGTGAAATGTGGCGAACAGTTAGGCACGGTGGTGGGAGCCTGTATTCCCAAATCCACAAGAGGCTGAGTGGGGAGGACTGCTTGGGGCCAGGAAGCCAAGGCTGTAGTGTGTTATGACCACACTTGTGAATAGCCACTGCACTCCAGCCTGGGCAACAAAGTGAAACCCTCTCTTTTTTCTTGAGACGGAGTTTTGCTCGTTGCCCAGGCTGGAGTGCAATGGCACGATCTCAGCTCACTGCAACCTCCGCCTCCTGGGAGGCTGCAGGCTAGGGACCAGAGACACAATGGTTAAACAAGTCACAGCCCTGTGATCCTAGAGATTACAACCCTGGCATAAGAAAATCCTTCTGGACTCACTGTCCCCAGGCCTGTGACTGTCACGTGCCAAGTACGCTTTACACAATCTCATTTTTCCCTCAACTCGGGGATGGGTTTTGCATCATTCCCATTACAGATAAGGATGTTGAGGCTATTGAGTGGAAGAGGAAACCTGAGTTCTGGTGCTGGACTTCAAAACTCATGTGAATTACTCAACAGCCTCCCAAACATCAGAGGCCCCAAACAGGCCTCTCAACTCACTTCTCACAAATAGGGGCCTTATCTGCCCCATCTCTAGGGCCCTTCTGTAACATTTGTAGCTATTTCCCATGTATTACAAAGGTAGGCCCTCCTTTCAGGAAGTTCATCCGCGCCCCTTCCTAAGGTAGCTTCTCTCCCCGCTTGGCACACCACCTGGGTAGCCAAGGGCAGAGCAGAGACTGGGGGACACGCCCCAGTACCAGGTCAGCACCAACTACTCCGTCAGTGATCACCAGTGCCCACCACTTCAATGGGCACCTCCAAGTGGCACCGGATCCTCTTGGAACAATTCCTAAGGCCAGGCACGGTGGTTCACGCCTGTAATCCCAGCACTTTGGGAGGCCAAGGCAGGTGGATCACTTGAGATCAGGAGTTCGAGACCAGCCTGGCCAACATGGTGAAACCCGTCTCTACTAAAAACACAAAAATTAACCAGACATGGAGGCGCACACCTGTAATCCCAGCTACTCAGGAGGCTGAGGCACAAGAACTACTTGAACCTGGGAAGCGGAGGTTGCAGTGAGCCAAAATCATGCACTGTACTCCAGCCTGTGTGACAGAGTGACTGTCTTAAAAAAAAAAAAAAAATTCCTCTCAAGTATTTCTTACAGTGGTCAGTGACAAAAGCAAGATCTAAAATCCTATCTACAGAATAATCCTAGCCAGGCAAAATAAACTCATTAAAAACTAACAGAAAATACTGAAATACAGGCCAGGTGTGGTGGCTCATGGCTGTAATCCCAGCACCTTGGGAGGCCAAGGTGGGCTGATCGCGTAAGGCCAAGAGTTCGAGACTAGCCTGGGCAACACGGCGCCACCCCATCTCTATTAAAATATAAAAATTAGCCAGGTGTGGCGACACACACCTGTAATCCCAGGCTTCTCAGGCGGCTGAGACAAGACAATTACTTGAACCCAGGAGGTGAAAACTGCAGTGAGCCAGGATCGCACCACTGTACTCCTGCCTGAGCGACAGAGTGAGACTCTGTCTCAAAAAAAAAAAATGAAATGTAACTAAAATATTTAGTGTCAAATACCTGGTTTTGGTAGACAGCAGGGATGACTGTTTTCTTATGCATATTGGTTTCATAAGAACTTTTTCCCTTGGCTGTATTAGTCACTTTGGGTAATCGCATTCACCAATAAACGAAGCAACGGCATGCTGCCGCAGACGCTCCGGCTACACTGCTGTGAAGGCTCAAAACGACCAAGTGGAAGCACCAGAGTCCATGAGGCATTTTATTTGTAAATGTATGTATTACATCCCTAGAAAAAGAATCCCAGGATTTTCCCTCCTGTGTGTTTTCGTCTTGCTTCTTCATGGTCCATGATGCCAGCTGAGGTTGTCAGTACAATGAAACTATGGAGTGGAAAAAGAAAATGCTGGTAAGTTTAATAGTTCAACATAGTGCCTTCTAGTGCAGAAAAGCATCAACACTCATTAGTGGTTAAGGGTGCTTTCCTGTGGAGCACACAGGAACTGACAGTGCCACTGCTGGTGCCTCATGTAGCATATGAGTATGACTCCCGCAACCAACAGAGCCAAATCCAGAGAGCGGAGCCACACAATCACACAGCCCTGACATCTGCCTCACACAGCCCTGACTTCTGCCTCACACAGCCCTGACTTCTGCCTCACACAGCCCTGACTTCTGCCTACACCACGAAACAAACTTGACTGAAAACAAAGGCATCTAGGAACTCCTTTAACTTCAAATGTCACTTTCTGCTCTCAGGTAAGGAGACCTGAAAGTATTCACATAAACTTGAGTTTGAATTGTGTTTCTGCCATGCACCGTATAACTATTACATGGAGACATGTTCATGTGTACAGTGAGTGGCTGCTTCATTAGCTACTGTGGGGATCACTGTAACAAGCATACAGTATGCAAATGTGCGTCATTAAAATCAGTTATCATAATTACAAAGAGAAATGATTTTCGTAAGAGAATGCTGTACCTGTCATACAGCAACCATGAAGTGAGAATACATTCAACCAAGGCACCAGACGCGTAATTTGGAGGATATAAATTCTTAACCACAAAGATACACATTTACTGTGTCAGCTCATAAAACGTTTTACCAAAATTAAATCAGGTGATAAACAGAGGACTATTACCACTTTTACAGATGAAGAAATCAAGGCTATGACTTGCCCAAGATCTCATGGCTTTAAAGCAGAAAAACAAGGATTTGAACTCAGACAGGCTCTTAAGGACAAAGATTCCCAAACGAAGTTTTCCCAAAGGCCCAGGCTTAGAACTGATTCTGGCCGAGTCTGGGATCACAGGGAACACACAATATGAACTATCTGCCAAAAGGGCAGACATGAAACACAACCCTCCTCTTCTGCCAGTCTAAGCTCTCACGCGCCTCTCAGAACCTGAAGCCTAACACGTGAAACGTGGCAAACAGCCAGGCACGGTGGCGGGCGCCTGTATTCCCAAATCCGTAAGGGGCTGAGTGGGGAGGACTGCCTGGGGCCAGGAAGCCAAGGCTGTAGTGTGTTATGACCACACTTGTGAATAGCCACTGCACTCCAGCCTGGGCAACAAAGTGAAACCCTGTCCCTCTTTTTTCTTGAGACAGAATTTCACTCTTATTGGCCAGGCTGGAGTGCAATGGCATGATCTCAGCTCACTGCAACGTCCGCCTCCTGGGTTCAAGCAATTCTCCTGCCTCAGGCTCCCGAGTAGCTGGGATCACAGGCATGTGCCACCAGGCCTGGCTAATTTTGTATTTTAGGTAGAGACGGGGTTTCTCCATGTTGGTCAGGCTGGTCTCGAACTCCCAACCTCAGGTGATCCGCCCGCCTTGGCCTCCCAAAGTGCTAGGATCACAGGTGTGAGCCACTGCGCCTGACCAACCCTGTCTCTATTTAAAGAGAAAAAAAAGAAATATGGGTAACACTTGAGGTAATTATTAGGTCAAAATGGTTGAGTAGACAAATTTAAAAAGGAAAAAAACAAAACCAAAAAAACCTCAAGTCAAACTGCACCACAGCAATTCTTAAGCACTAACTTGTTTTAATTAAGGAAAGGCCAACTTACCCAAACTGGCGGGATGGAAGCAGGTTATTCTGCCATTTTTCTAGATCTTTGAGTTGCACATCAAATCTGGGGCTGATCACTCCACACTATAAAATAAAAACAACAACAACAAAAAAAGTCTTCACTTTACCAATGAAGAGAAAAACTGAGTAACACAAGCTGACATTGATAAACGAACAGTCCTCCAAACCAACCAAACCAGCATTCAGATGGGTACCTATTCTGTGCACAATTCTTGACATACTTTTCAAAAAATACACTTAAGTAAGACTATGCCCGCCTACGAGGCCCACCACGTGCCTAGAAAAAGCAAAGACATGAAAAGAAATGGCACAAGGCAATACATGGCAGTGTCCAGCCACTGGCGTGCTCCCTGTTGGCTAGAGAACTGTCCAGAATCATCAGATTTTACATAGCCAAGAGATCAAGTCTTGACGAGAGACTACAGCCAACCCTTTCTTATATAGTAAGGCTGAAATAAAATCGTAGGGTCTCAAATCCTGAAGCTCATAAGCTAAAAACTACAAATTATTAGAATATCTAAGGAACACGCTGCACCGGCAGCGAACTAAGAACACTGCTCCCACCAATGAAGTACCATTACATATTTCCAAGAAACAATGTCCTACATCCCCAGGCAAATTTTTCCAAATGAATGTGACAGAATGATGGAAGGCAGAAAGAGCAAAGGGCTTGCAATTATCTCGTGGCTACCAGGACAGGGCAACAATGATCCTCCCAAGTACGAGCTCACCAACGGCTGTCATCCCTCAACTACATGCCAGCCCTAAAACACTACTGAAGAAAGTCCACCAACTGATGTCCACTAACTGAAGACCCTCTGCTCACAAAATCTGCTCTAAAATCACAGGCACACTTGAAAAACACTTCCAAAAGCAGAGACTGACCCACAGAAACTGAAAATGGGCTTGTCAGAAAGGCCTAACTGCATTACGCTCAGGAAGCCTGCTTAAGTTCTCCTACTATTACCCCATCAGCTATGCTGTGACTTGACTAACAATGCCAATCTCACAGCAGATGAAAGAAATGCAGGGACAGAAATATAGGGAAACTAGTTTAGTCCAAGCAAACTGTAGTGAAAGATCTTCCCCAAAGTCTGCCGCACTCTGCATCCAAGTTTTTATGTTGATTCCAGCAGCAAAAATCCTTCTCATTGTGGTAGAATTAAAACAGCATACCCTCTCCCAACTAAGAAGAATCCTAAGAGGATGTGATCAAGCCCAGAATGTTAATCAATCTAGTCTTTACACACTGTCTTACTTCCAAGCTCAATTTCCACGCTAAGAGTAGGTCAATGTCTTGCATGAAAGTGATGGAGGGGGACATTCTCTTATAAATGGGGAGAAATGAAATTCCAAGAAACCAAAAATTGTTTACTTTGCCGAAAGTCACAGAGCAGGCCAGGTGCGGTGGATCACCTGAGGTCAGGAGTTCCAGACCAGCCTGGCCAACATGGCAAATCCCCGTCTTTAATAAAGATACAAAAATTAGCCCGGCATGGTGCCACGCACCTGTAATCCCAGCTACTAGGGAGGCTGAGGTAGGAGAATCGCTTGAACCTGGGAGACGGAGGTTGCAGTGGCCAAGATGGTGCCACTGCACTCCAGCCTGGGTGAGAGTGAGACTCCGTCTCAAAAAAAGGGCACAGAGCAGCAGGGCCTGCATGTCAACTGTTACAGGCTAGAATTTTTTAAAGTAGCACACCACAGAACAAGGGTGCCACAAATGAGTTCCATTTACAGAATGCTCTGTTCAAACATTTCTCGGCTGGGCCCAGTGACTCACGCCTGCAATCCTGGCACTCTGGGAGGCTGAGGTGGGAGGCTCACTTGAGCCCAGAAGTCTAAGACAAAACTAAGCAACATAGCGAGATCCCACCTCTACAAAAAAGTTTTTAAATAATTAGCAGTCACAGTGGCATGCACCAGTATTCCCAGCAACTCAGGAGGCTGAGGTGGGAGGATGGCTTGAGCTAGGGAAGCTGCAGTGAGCCAAGATGGTGCCACTGCACTCCAGCCTAGGCCAGAGCAAGAATATCTCAAAAGGAATATAAATAAAAATAAATAAATCCTACTTTGAGGTGGCGTTCTAACGGCTACATACAACTGAAACACAGTATGACATACTGAAAATTACTCTTGCAAGTTCTTTAAATCTTACGGAGTCTCGCCCTGACACCCAGGCTGGAGTGCAGTGGTGTGATATCCAGCTCACTGTAACCTCCGCCTGCCAGGTTCAAGCAATTCTCCTGCCTCAGCCTCCCAAGTAGCTGGGATTACAGGTGCCCGCCACTGTGCCCGGCTAGTTCTTGTATTTTTAGTAGACACGAGATTTCACCATGTTGGCCAGGCTGGTCTCAAACTCCTCACCTCGTGATCCACCTGCCTCAGCCTCCCAAAGTGCTGGGATTACGGGCGTGAGCCACCGCACCCAGCCAGTTCTTCAAATCTTTAATAAATACTTCAGCAACTCACTTTCTGGGTCTCTTTCCCCTCATCTGTTGCAGTAGACACAGGGGTGTCCAAGGGAGGGAATACAGACATGGGCTCTTAGTTTCTGTTTCTAGTTGGGCCAGTAAGGCCACTCTTCATCCCTCTTTTCCATTTATCACTAGAGACAGAAACTAAATACCATGGTTTCAGGCTGCTAAAAGTCTAAAACAAAACAACAAAATTAGGCAGGCTGGACAAGCTTGGACTAGAGGATCTGCCTCTTTGCAAATCTGAAAGCTACAAACCTGACAGGAAGCACAGTGGACACCTCAACTAGCTTAGACACCTGCCCCCAAAACACACGCAATCACTTAAACCACAAAATCAGTTTTACTTGGTTAAGGTGTTGACAAGTCAAACTGAAAAGCAACATAGACCCCAAAGACCTATGCCAGCAAAAACAGAAAAAGTATTAATATTGCTATTTAGAAAGCCCCATTTACTCAAAGATTCCATCCAAAAAACCCAACACATCACTGAGAGGAAGGACACAGCTTCTTGGACAAAAGGCTCAGTGGCCTTGAACCACCCAAGTTCAAGCCAGTGAGGTGGGTAGTGTTAACATCCAATATTTAAACACCGGTACCGCCGCTGGTTTCACCCCCCATCTCCCCTGAGACAGCTTATACCCCATAGAAACACTAGGTCAACTGACATAATTCTAGCACAATCAACGCAGGAGAACAAATGAAGTTATATGTGTCAATATTTAAACCTTTTTAAAGTAACTGGATAAAGCAAGTATGGCACCACTACTCAGTATTTCCAAAGGCAATTACAACATCTAACGCCACATTACAAAATTCTTAAAGCTTTGAAATGTGTATATCACTCATTCTTACCTTGTTTAGCCTGCCTGTAAGGTTCACAACAATTTTCCCAGCTCTGTGATCATCAATGATTTCAAATTCGCCAATGTAACCTACAAAAGATAACTGACTGGATTAAATAAAAGACATCAACTTGAGAGCTAAACCTCTGTGCTCCAGCCTACCCAATTCTTCAGTCTCCCATCATCACCTCAGTGACTGCTTCTCCAAGAAGTTGGGGGGAAGACAGTTAATCTGTATCAGAACTAATTTTTACAACCTAACACGTAAGATTTGGGAGACAATACCCAAAACAATCCACCTTGCAATTCTGAAAGAACTTATTTTCCCCTTGACCCTTCCTTCACTGCTTCCCACTCCCAAAGGCTACCTTGTGCCAAAGAAGTGCAATAATCCAATCTTTTCTCTCAAGGGGCTCTGAGAAGATCTCAAGAGTCCTTTCGGTTTTTTTTTTTTTTTTTTTTTTTTGAGATGGAGTCTTGCGCTGTCGCCCAGGCTGGAGTGCAGTGGCCGATCTCGGCTCATTGCAGCCTCCACCTCACGGGTTCAAGCAATTCTCCCTGCCTCAGTCTCCCGAAGAGCTGGGATTTTTTTTTTTTTAGTAGAGACGGGGTTTTGCCATGTTGGCCAGGCTGGTCTCGAAATGAGCTCAGGAGTCCTTTCAATGACTTGGTTTCATTTAGCTCCCAAATACCTAGCAGAGCTCCTTCTTCCAGCAGTCCTACTCTAAGTGACTCTTTAGAAGTTTCAGACTATCCCCTTCTCCACAGCCCACAAGTCAATTGCATTCGTTCTCAGGTATGACAGACATACTTTGGTCCCCCATAATTAATTTCTACAGGACTCATTTCTTAAAAGAGTCTCACATCAAAACATAAAACACAGCGGCAGCAGACTTACCATGCTTCATCATCACAGTGAGAAACCGGACGATGACTTTGGAGCACGGCCTAATAAGCACCTGGCGTTTGCCTCTCTTTTCGGCATTGTTGATGCTCTTGAGAGCATCAGCCAGGACATTCATGCGCACCATTGTGGCTGTTCAGGGAAGACAAAACAGGAGGTTTTACTGGCATTGCCAACAGCAACAGACACTCACCAACCAACACACTTCGCAAGTATCCTTTTCTTTCTGGCCCCACCTTGGCGAAGTTTTCTTAAGTCTGAGAAGGCTGCTTCTCCATTTCCCACCACCCAGGAAAATTCCTATTTACTACGGTTGTTGTAAACAGGTTATCGGGACGTCAGTCTGCACATTTTTAAATTCACTCATTCACTAACCACTCTTCTTTGAATTGTGCCACACGCCAACGTCTGGAGGTAATGAAATGTGGGACAAAATCCACTTGACACAAGAAAACGACAGAACTAGCAGAAACTGCCAGCTACCGAAACGAAAACATAGGCTATAGTCTATCAGTGATTCAGAACAGAAGCAGAGTATCATCGGCAACATTTTCCAAATTGTCGAAAATCAGCAGATTCTGTACTATTAACATTGCACTTTAGAACAGTTCACTCTCACCTACCATGAACACATCAATAAAACTAAACATCCATCTTTGTACCATTTAAAATTGCGTCCAACAGCAAGTGCCACAGTGGCAAACGGAAACATTTTACATACTGTCAGACTGGACAGTATGTCCAGTCTCTTCTAATAGGCACGGACGGCACAATACACTGAAGTTCTGAAAGCCCTTAAGTATGGAGACCAAAGTGCCAATAGTAAAGAGTAGAACTTAAATCTCTCCCCTTAAGTTCAAAAGTGTCTAAAGAAAAACTCCGCGGCCCAGAAGATCCAAATTGGCACCCAGCAAAGTGCTAACCCCGGCACGATGCAGCTTTTACCCGCCGGGTGGCCTCAGCCTCCCAAGCTCCCAGCGCGGCCCCAGCTACGAGAAGCTGCACCGCCCACCAGCCCCGATGCTGCCCGCCGCCCGGGGCCAAGGCGCAGCCTCAGCACTACAGGGAGATTCAGACGCTGTGGCCCGAACCGAAGTTACTGCCTAGGTAGGCAGTCGAAGGTTCCGGCTCCCGCCAGCGCTGCGGCCTGCACCCCATGCACCGGGATCCCCGGAGTGCAGTCTGGGGCGCCCGGGCATGGCTCTCCTCTATGCTTGTCCAGGAACCGGCAAGGCCAGGATCCTCGGCCAAGGAGGGGTCCAGCCTCCTCGCAGGACACTGAGTCCGAACCTTAGATTGCAGGATTGCGCCGATGGCAGACGGATGAAATTGGAGCTCTCAGAAAGTGCCACTCACCGGCGCGGAAAGATGGCGGAAAGGGGACGGGAGGGGAGAGCGCACGGAGTTATGGGAAGCGGGAGAACTATCGCGAGACTTTCAAAGGACCGGCAAAAACAGGTACCGCCTCGGAGGAGGAGGAGGGGAAGGGAAAGGCGGAGCCTCCTCAGGGGTTGGCAGTTGAGAGTCGATGGAATCGACCTTCCTCGGTGCGGCCTGGGAGAGGCAAAGTGAGCAGTTCATTGGAGGTTCGTCTACTTTTTTTTTTTTTTTTTTTTTGAGATGGAATTTCGCTCTTGTAGCCCAGGCTGGAGTGCAGTGGCGTGATCTCGGCTCACTGCAACCTCCGACTCCCGGGTTCAAGTGATTTCTTCTGCCTCAGCCTCCTGAGTAGCTGGGACTACAGGCGCGCGCCACCACGCCCGGCTAATTTTTGTATTTTTAATAGAGATGGGGTTTCCCCATTTTGGCGAAGATGTTCTTGATCTCCTGACCTTGCAATCCGCCCACCTCGGCCTCCGAAGGTGCTGGGATTACAGGCGGGAGCCACCGCGCGGGCCTTAATTTTTATTTTATTTTACTTTTGATACAGAGTCTCGCTCTGTCACCCAGGCTGGAGTCCAGTGGCGCGATCTTGGCGCACTGCAGCCTCCGCCTCCCGGGTTCAAGCGATTCTCCTGCTTCAGCCTCATGAGTAGCCGGGATTACAGGCACACGCCATCACACCCGGCTAATTTTTGTATTTTTAGTAGACAGGGGGTTTCACCATGTTGGCCAGGCTGGTCTCGAACTCCTGACATCAAGTGATCTGCCCACCTCAGCCTCCCAAGGTGCTGGGATTACAGGCGTGAGCCACCACACCTGGCTAAAATATTTTTTAATTAAAAAATAAGTGAAGCTCAGACAAAAGTCACCCAACAATTGTTTACTGAGCACTCTTGTACCAGACACTAGCAAGGCCCTGGGGTACGAGGTGCCCACACAGGAACCATTTAGCCAGTTCTGTCCCTGCCGGTGCTTCCAGCTTCGTCCTCTCTCACATGTCATAGTTGGCCCCTGCTCGTTCATTGCATTTCCTCTTCCCTCTAGCATGCTGCCTGGAATATTTGGTAAATAAATAAACTTAAACCTTTTATTTTTGTTCTTTTTTAAAATTTTTCATAGGGTCCTGCTCTGTTGCCCAGGCTAGAGTGCAGGGGTACACTCAGCTCAATGCAACCTCAAACTCATGGACTCCAGTGAACCTCCTGCCCAGGTCTCCCAAAGTGGTGGAATTTCTTAAAGAGTACCTTATAGACACGTAAGGACCACACAGGGTACTTCATCAATCAGATTCATAAATCCAATCATGTAAATATTACATTGGCTAAGTTAAAGAAGGTGAGACATGAAGATTCCAGCTTTTTTTATTTTTTCCCATTTTACACAAAGTAGAATAATACAGGATTAAAACTGCAAAAGTAGTTAATCAGTAGAACATGTATACACAAAAAAAATCCAGATAGGAAGACAGGCTTATTTACAATGAAAGTAAGGTAAAATTAAGGTAGTTTTCTTATGAAATATTAAAAAAAAAAAAAAAATATGCTACAATGGGCACCACTGTTTACAGCAATATTAAAGAGGAAAAAACACTTATTTAATAGGGACAGATATACCACAAGGTACAACATCAGTGCAATAAATTCACAAAACTATATTACAGCTAATCAGTTTAAGAATTGTTCCCAAGTCAGTCACATTTTTTGGCCCTCAGAAGTTCATTCCTACAGATTTCAACTACTCTAAATTTCTAGCTACCAACAAGTTAAGAATGATAAGAAGAAGCTTTCCAAGGAGTTACGAAATCTTTGTAGACCAGAGGCCAACCAACTATCATCACCTCAAGTCTGCTCTCACCAACAGCCCTTGTATTTTTCAGGGAGAAATCTCTAGGAAAAAAAGTCAGACACCAGTGTAGTCACTATCTCCCATGTCAAACCTAGGGGACTAAAATGGCCAGTATTACCATAAAATGAGAATTTTAAGGTTTACCTTAAAAGGCTTATTCTGGTCTCAAAAATTAGATAAGATTATCTTCTACTCTTCTACTGAAATGAATCTTAACTAAACATATTAGACTGCTGTCCTTTTGCTGGTCTTAGAGTAAAAATCATAGACATGAGTCTTAACCTACTGTATACTATAGCTAAAGTCAGCTGAAAATCTGAAATTAAAAGTATGCTAGAAATCCTAAATGTAATCTTGTGGAAGTCTGCTATTCAAAAGCCCTTAACGATTTACTAACTTCGAGTCTAAGTGCAAGGGGACAAAAGCTTAAGCCTGTCAGACATTCCTTTTTTTGGACAGAAAGATCAAAGCTTCCTACAAATTGCTAAGCTTTGCAGAAGGGAGAAGCCTACACGTACTAGCACATGGAATCAGTTTCATTTTATTTCATGGGGACTCTTCTCCCACCGGAAAGAAACAGAATGAGGAATGAATCTTAATTGGTCTCTTCATCAGAAGTGGTAAACTTGGTCTCTATATTCATGAAGTCAGACAGTTTTCTAAGCAGACTGTGGAAGCAGACAGAACCAGCTTCCTGTAGCCACAGACCACTACATGGTATCTAAGCTAAAGCAAAGATGAACAATTATCCAGATTCACTTGAACTGTACTAAAGGGCAAGGTTCACCACTACAAAAGGAAGTTGTCTAAAAGCAAGAATTCAATTAACACTGGGTAAGAAAAATCAAAAACAAATTATACACACTAATGAGTTGTCCATGAAGCCAACTGCTAAGAATGCACTCAACTATATGCAACATGAAGACACTGCACAAAGCCTTACTTGGGGAGTCTGAATTTCTATCAACTAAGGGCAGAGTGAGGGAGAGCAAAGAGCTACTTCCGTAACATTTTAGTATCCAGATAGTACAGCAGAAACCGTTCCCGGAGCAATGGGTGCGCCACTAATCACCCTGATTAAAGCAGATGAATCATTCATTTTTCTTTTCTTTTTGTTTGAGAAGTTTGTTTATCTCCCTCTTGGCCATTCCAATGTACTTCGAAATGATTCCATGCTGGTTTAGTCCAGGAAGCAATAGCAAGGAAGTCACTTAAAATAAATTTTAAAAAAGCAACATTAAGGAGGCAGCAATTAACTTGCTAAAGGTTATTATTATTATTATTTTTTGAGACAAAGTTTCACTATTGTTGCCCAGGCTGGAGTGTAATGGCTGATCTCAGCTCACTGCAACCTCCACCTCCCAGGTTCAAGCGATTCTCCTGCCTCAGCTACCCAAGTAGCTAGGATTACAGGCATGCGCCACCACGCCCGACTAATTTTGTATTTTTAGTAGAGATGGGGTTTCTCCATGTTGGTCAGGCTGGTCTCAAACTCCCGATCTCAGGTAATCCGCCCGCCTCAGCCTCCCAAAGTGCTAGGATTATAGGCATGAGCCACCTTGCACAGCGACAACTCTCACTCTTGTCGCCCAGGCTGGAGTGCAGTGGCACAATCTCAGCTCACTGCAACCTCCACCTCCCGGGTTCAAGAGATTCTCCTGCCTCACCCTGCCAAGTAGAGTAGCTGGGATTATAGGCGCCTGCCACCACACCTGGCTAATTTTTGTATTTTTAGTACACACGTGATTTTGCAATGTTGGCCAGGCGGTCTCCAACTCCTGACCTCAGGTGATCTGGGTGTGTGTGTGTGTGTGTGTGTGTGTGTGTGTGGTGCAGTGGTGTGATGTCAGCTCACTGCAACCTCCACCTCCTGAGTTCAGGTGATTCTCATGCCTCCGCCTCCCAAGTAGCTGGGACTACAGGTGTGCACCACCACATCTGACTAATTTTTGTATTTTTAGTAGAGACAGGGTTTCCCCATATTGGCCAGTCTGGTCTCAAACTCCTGGCCTCAAGTGATCCACCCACCTCAGCCTCCCAAAATGCTGGGATTACAGGCTGAGCCACCGTGCCCAGCCAATTATTACATTTTAAAGAAGGTAGGTTCCCAGATTATTAAACTCTATAATGGGAGGAAATAACATGAAACCAATTACTTCCACTGGGATGTATCCCCAGAAACTCCTGCTCTCATCCCCTCTTCCACCTCAGAAAATAATCATTGCTTATTACTTTCTACCTTAGTTTGTGCATTACTTTCTACCTTAGTTGTTGCATTGTTTTCACTTTCTATGAGACCATAATCATCTTTCTATATTCCCACAGTTCCTTTTTGGTGTCTAAAACTTAGGAAGTTGTTTATTGACGAAGTTACAGTTCAATTTCACTGGCCAGGATGTGCCTGTAGTTTTTCCTCAAAGACTTACCTATCAGGTAGGTGAGAAGCAGGTTGTGGACTTGTTGTCCCACCCAAGCAACCGCAGCAAGAGAAACAATCATGGTCATGAAGTACTAGCAATGAAAACAACAAGAATTTAATATCAAAACTTCATTATGACACCATAAATATATGTAATTTTTATTTGTCAATTAAAGAAGAGTGTGTTTCAAAGTTCAGGAAATAATTTAGCTTTTATTATCACTTTTCTTTAAAAATTCTTAGATTTAAAAACCTACTCCATTGGATCTACTTTATAGAATTTGGGTATGTTTCTTCCTAGAATTACTGCAATTCTATATGTAAATATTTTATGATATAAATTATACGATCTTTTCAGTTAATAACGTCATAGAGCAGCCTCACAACGTGAAGCTGACAGATGAGAGAACAGATGAACAGATGCTTTCCTTTTTTTTTTTTGAGACAGAGTCTCATTCTGTCACAAAGGCTGGAGTGCAGTGGTGCAAACAGCTCACTCCCCAAACACAAGCTCACTGCAGCCTCAACCTCCTGGGCTCAAGTGATCCTCAGCCTATCGTGTAGCTGGGATTATAGGCATAAGCCACGGTGCCAGGCCTAAACAGATGCTTTCTAAGCATATGTCTTTTACTATTATTTCAGTAAGAAAAATGAAACAGAAGAATTTTGTTTTACTAGAATAAAAAATTAAATGCAAAAATATAATTTTTAACTTTAAAATGATTC